CCATTAGAGACATATTTTTATATAGAAATCCACGCTCTACTCAGAAGTCACTTCAAAATTAAAATATCGTAAAAAAAACCAGCAAGAGAACACATATAATGTTCTTACATTAATGTTTGATAATAGGTCAATTCACTGTTATATCAAAATGTTTATTATTATGTTATTAAAATTACCAGGGCTTGAAACCGAAAATAATTTCTGTGGTTTTTATTCGGATTCAGATATCAGTATTTATTTTAGTCAATTTATATTTCAATTTCCTATATTGGTATTTATTTTACATACAATGTAGAATTCATATGAGAGGACAACCTTCAAAATGTGAGGTTTTCGAACATGAAATTTAAGTCCTAGAGACCAATTCATCAATTTGAAAACCTAAAGAAACTAAATGCTACTCAAATGAATCCACTTCAAGTCAACAAACAAAACAATTGTAAGTTGTTTCTCTGGTATGAGTCCTTGCATGAGCTGTGCTATGTTATCAAAACTGATACAAGGATTTATATAGGATAAAAACCTTACCAATGCAATCTTTGTAATAATTATTTCTAGCTGAAGGAAACGGGTTATTCCAAATGGTTCATCTGATTTAAAGTGCTTATATTATTTTATTTTTTAGGTTTAGAACAATATGTTATACATTAAAATATTAAATAAAAGAAAAAGATGTCAAGTTTAGTTAACTGTATCTATAAATGTTCTATGTGAGCTCCTTTGGTTACACAAATAACATTTAGTCGGTAGTCAAATTCATACCATACTTTTTGCAGCATAGACTACATGGCTGTTGTTATTCGATTTTTCAATTCAACTAGATATGATGGCAGTGGTTTGTACACAGTTTCTTTAACATATCCTCAAAAGAAATAATCACATGGCGTCAGATCTTTATATAGCCATTTTAAATCGGATGAATCATTTTGAATAACCCTGCATTTTAAAGTTATAAAATAAGCTTAGTTCATAAACCTAAAGACTAATATGTATTATAAATTGTATTATAATTAAATATAAGTAATCAACTACCAATGTATTATAACCATACCTTTATACCTTACCTACTGTAAAACAATTTTAGCTGAGTTTATAAACTTAAATATCTACTTGTTATGAATTATATCTCAATTGGAAGTTCATATGAATATAATCTCTTAATATCAAAATATGCACTTTATGCTAACATATTGTATTCAGATTCTGTGCGCTACACCAGTTGTCATTCCCAAACATTTAACATTCTAAGACTGACTTGATGACTCTCATTTTTTGGTTCCATTAAATAATGTACCTACATTAAAACTTTAAAAATTATGGATAGCTAACACTTCTTAGATAATATTTTCATACAATAGAAATTCAATTAAGAACATTAAGAATTTATTAATAAAAAAAAAAAGAATATTTTATTTTACCAGTTGTTCTTTTTTTAGTTGTTGACTAAAAATATACTTTAAATTTACTACTGCAAGCTAACTCTTTCTTTTCTGATTACCAATTTGGTTTTCTACAAGGCAGATCAGTAAATGATGCGCATTTCTTCGTTAATATGTACATACATGAAAATCTTGATCTTAATAATAAAACTATGGGAATTTTTCTGGACGTCAAAAAGGCTTTTGATAGTTTAAACCACGATCTATTGCTTAAGAAGCTACACATTCTGGTATTAGAGGTATTGAAAATGATCTTATAAGGTCATACCTTACTAATAGAATTCAATACGTTAAAATTAATGAAAAGTATAGCAATCCTATGTTGTTGAATCACGGTGTACCACAAGGGACTGTACTTGGGCCCATTTTTTTTATTATATACATATAAATGGACTACTTAATATAAATGTTGATGCAAAGGTAGTGTGTTTTGCTGATGATACTGTTGTTCTTATAAATGAAAAAAATAATGATAAATTATATACTAAAGCAAATCAAGTCTTTGATACAATTAATTCATGGTTTAATAATAATTTTCTTGACTTAAACCTTACAAAATCTAAATATATTATCTTTAGTATTCAGAACACGAACTCAGATGTTGAAAATAAATTATGTTTACATACCACACCTTGTCAAATCAGCAAATATAATAATTGTAATTGTTTAAATATTGAAAGAGTTGACTCTATCAAATATCTTGGATTATTTATTGATTTCCAACTAAAATGGGTGACACATATTAGCTATATTCTACGACTTAGCCGTAAATTCTTTTTTGTATTTAATGATTTACGATCCATATTCAATAAACAGCAATTGAGAGTTATTTATATATCTTTTGTGCAATCAGTAATTTCATATGTGATAGAGATTTGGGGAGGGACTTACAATATCCATTTAAACAAAGTTAAAGTTATCATGAATAAGATTATTAAGTATATTTTACATTTACCTAATTATACAAATACTGATTATTTATATAAAGAATTTAATGTACTCAGTTGCCATACGAAAAAAAAAAAAAATGTACTCAGTTTCGATAGATTGCTTAACAAATGTACCCTACTATTAGCTTTTAAACATAAAAAAATATTTTACAAATTGTAATCATAACTATAATACAAGGCTAAAAAAAAATATTAATATAAACACACCAAATTTGCTATAAGCATTTTAGTAGCAAGAGTTGCTTAAATCGAGCGATAGCTCTTTGTAGAAAATTAGAAATTAATATTAATAATTATCCTAACTTTATTCATTTTAAGCGTTATGTATTATCCATAATATAAATTGTTGTTATAACTATTCTTTTAAGTAATTTATTTATTAAGTTTTATTTTATTTTCTTATTGTAATGATATTAGATGTCACTCAACTAACGCCTGTTAATCTAAGATCGCCTCAACATAATTTTATTTACTTTATTTTCTATTTGAATTAAGGTCTTAATTAAGAACCTCTCACCTTCACCACAAGCTTTGCTTAAAGGAGGTGAGCAAACAAACTTATTAATGTATTATTTATTGTAACTTTTATTTTACCAAATACCATTTGTTTGCAAATACATTATACATATATATTATTATTATATAATACAAGGTTCTTCACTACTGACTAAAACTGAGTTTTTAATTAACTATTTATAATATATAATATATACTATATTATATTAAAAGTAGCCATATATTTTTTACCGATGATGTCAAAGAACGGATTAAATAATATTGAATAAATACTATAAAAATATAAAATATTTACTTCAGTAACTACATGAGAATTAACACAGCATACTATTAAGTGACATCTTTGAGTATAGTACCTCGGTAGTAGGCAAAAGTACAAAATTATAGAAATTGGCTAAACGCAGTGCAAAACATAAGGGAAATCCCATTGCCCTGCAGGATCCGCCACTCCTTATAGGTGTTATATTTTCATTTTATTTTATTACGGGAAAGTACCTATATGGCTAGTCGGCTTGAGTTATAAAAATAAACAACATAATATTATAACAGTCGTCGATCATAAAATGATCATATAATAGTCAAATAGCAATTATACTTGTAAGTATCTGGTAAATATGAAAATAATATGTGGTCATAGCATACATTTCCACTGTTGAATGTGAATTATAAATTTTATTGCTAAAATAATAATTAATAAATAATATGCATGATGAAAATAATTAAATAATTTTTAATTTTCAATCTCAATTATATTATATCGGCCATTCAGCCTATCACTGATGCATTTCAATAAATAAATATTTCTAAACTATTTTTGTGTCTAGTCGTCTATAGGCATCCTTTAAAAATTAAAATGCACAGTTTTGCATATTTAGGTGAATAAACTGCATATTTTACAATTTTTTATTGCATACAAATCCTAGTGATGCATTCATCAGCAAAACATTAAGTATACATTGGAGTTCGATAAATTGTGACTTGACAGTTAATTTTGTGTAATTTTTAGACTGCCATACGAGTCGGCATGACCAAATATTTTTTATGCGAACGGTACATAACTGTTCCTATCGGACTTTCGGATCTTGAGTAATTATTAGTAATAATCAACTGTTAATTATTGTTATTAAATATTAATATAACTTAGATCATTATAATATGGACGGAAACATGTCCCGATATTTGAAGCACATAATGTTCATATAATTTACAAGCAATGAGTCGCTGGTTGAAAATTTGAAATGTGCTTTCTATGTGTTCATAGCCTTACAAAACTAAACTTGACGGCCGAGTGCCGACGCATATTTTATGCTAATAAGTAATAACAGATAGCATTGTCCCTGGGAATTAGTGAGCGATAATTAAGCGATACTAGTGATAATGCGTGATAAGTAAGCCTAATGCAACCTGATTACGAGGTGTGTGGATCGTAGTCAATAATAAAAGTTTTTTTTCCCCGAGACTTTTTTTTGTTCCCCATTTTATCCGTTTTTCATGGCCGCGTCATCCACGAGATTCGCTTAGATCCGTTCGACGCCGATCACCGCTTCGACAGTTGGCATTGCCGACCGCGTCCGTCGACGTTTCACACTGCGTCTACTTCGATTTTTTCGCCATTTTGTCGGTTGGCAAAACATTTCGTTTATTATACAAAACGTATTGGGAATAATATTTTTTTTAAAGGTCAAATAAAATAGTAATTGTAAAATTACTTATATAAAATATTTTTTTTTTTTTTTTAAACGACATGTTTAGAAATAATAAAATATGACACAAAATAAATCATAATAATATCATCTTAATTGTCATATGAAATATTGCCAACCGACATTGAAGCTTCAATTCATGGCGGCAGTTCGCTATCTAGTCAGTATCTACCTACTATATAGAAATCTGTGACTTGGCATATTATATTATCAAGCAGCTGCAGCGTCTGGCAGAAAAAGCGTCACGCGCTAAGGAGGCCTGCGATTGGCTCTTGAATAATACGGTCTGCCGCAGCGTCCGTCCCGTTTTTTGTTGTCGTTTACATTTTGTCGTTCGGTTCGGACCTTTGTTGGTTTTTGTGCAATTGTGATTGTACTGCGACAGCCTTGGTATGGATTTTGGATTGCCGAACGGTTTTGTTTGCTTGCGGAATCGAATGCCATTCAAAGTCAACGTCAAGTAAGTTCCGTCTTGTTCTCTCGTGTATCCATAACGCTCCTGTCGATACGGTTAGATTTTATAGTAATTCGGCGTTTTGTCTTGTTGACGTTACCTACCTACTCGTAATTATGACATTCCGGTGCTCACCAAAACTACTCGACGATTGTTTCACTAAAAATGTATTTATTATATATTTTTGTTTACAGTTTTTCCATACGTCAATCGATGTGGGCGGAAGAGCGTTCACGATGGCACACAACCTTGGCGCGGATTTTAGATTATCCAACATTTTTGATCACGTGTGGAAAGGCAACATCAAGTAAGTCCCTTCTTGTTCTCTTGTATATCCGTAACACTCACGACATTACGGTTAGATTTTAGTGTTTCGACGTTTTCTCATGTTAAGGCTCGGTCAAACAGGAACAGGTCTGCTGAGCCGTACACCATGGCAACTCGGTTTCTGTTTGACTGAGCCTTTAACGTTACCTACCTACTTGCATTTATGACTTCTCGGTGCTCCCCAAAACTGTTCGTCGATTGGATCACTAAAAATGTATTTATGTTATTATTTTGTTTACAGTTTTTCCATACGCCAATCGATACGGACTGAAGAGCGTTCATGAGCGGTCAGGCCGGCAGTAACGCACTCAATCTCAAACCTGATCCGTTGTTTTCACCTTCTTCTGTGGTTATGGTAATTCAATCCAAAACAAATCCATTTTCATGTGCTACTTCAGAAATATAATTAGCTGCTCCACTCCAAGGCTAACCTTTTTTACATACGTATTCCATGCAGTCTAAATGTCGAATGCCTCAGCCTTGGCACATGTATTTCTACGCGACGGTCATACTGGCTATGGGGTAGAAGTATGTGTTCCAAGGCTGCGGCATTTAGACTGTTTGGCATACGTATGCAAAAACGTCTAACCTTGTCGTTATATTACATCAGAGATTTCACTACCCCGGAACTATTAGATTATCTGAAATATGTGCATGGAAACAGGATTATTTACTGACCTAATCGACCAATTAATAATAATGTTCTATTCTCTACCTTTATAAAAATAAATTGCCATAATTTAAATACAATTATTACAGATTATAATATAAATATTACATTTTTTTTTAAATAAAACATCTTGCATTTATTTTTTTTTTAGATATTTGTAATATTTTAACAGAGTTCTTATTAAACAATTGTGTTCATAATAATTTTGTCTTGTAATTTTATTTATTAATTTATACTTATACTACAACAAAACCTTGGTGGCCGTCAACTGAATAACAATGTATTACATTTTTGACAAATGTTAATATTTTATTAATGGTAAGAATATCAGTGTTTGTAAGGTTTTTTTTTACCATTATATACATTTTAACGTGAGTTAGGTATGTGTCTTTTAACTAGGTAAATATAGAAGAAATTCATGAAATTTATATTTCATAAAATTGGATGTAGATTTATGACTAGATGTCAATATTGTGTGTTGTAAGAAATTACAGTAAATAAGTAGCAGCTTGCTGCTTGACATACCTACCATAATAAATTATATACTATGTTATACATTTTAATGAACAGTACTATTAGGGAATAATAGTTATATTTTAAATGCATAGTCCACCACATATTTTTGTAAAAAACAATAATATTAAATACAAATAAAATAGAAAAATTTAAACTAACAATTAAAATAATTTTGAAAATTGTTAATAATATTTTTATTGTGTATTTTACGTAATAATATGATGTAAGTATTAAAATGTGTAATATGTAGTATCTGTATGTACAAAATACAGCCCCTCCCCCCCCTGTTAACAAAACGAAGTACCATATATTGATATAAATTGTTATATTAATGAAAATAATTATAATAAGTATGTGTACAATTTACAAGTAGTATAAAACTTTTATACTAGGTATAACTAAAATAATAACTTTTATTTTATAAATCACAAAAAAAGAAATAATAATAATATGGTTTTTTGCCGTTTTTTTCGAATATTCGAGTCTCGGCCTGTTTTAGTGGTATTACTCTCCCCGTTTGGATGTTGTTCGCGTTCCCCTCTAAATTTATAGCCGGCGAGCGGCCCTACTTTTTTGTATAGACGAGTCCCGGGGAGAAGCGGCGCGACGGTCCGCGGCGCCACCGTCGTGTAGGTACCGCTATATACATTCGTAGAGTAACCTGGGGTATTATGGCTCATAGTATCTGTATGTACAAATTGTATAGCCCCCCCCCCCCTGTTAACATAAAGAAGTACCATATATTGATGTAAATTGTTATATTAATGAAAATAATTATAATAAGTATGTGTACAATTTACAAGTAGTATAAAACTTTTATAATAGGTATAACTAAAATAATAACTTTTAGTTTATAAATCACAAAAAAGGAATACCTAATAATAATATGGTACATCATATGATTTATGACGAATTGAGAACCTAGGTGAATTTTAAGCTGCGGGATTGGAGTGTAAGTTCATAAATAACCTCTCATATATTTATGTATCTATAGATATTCATTAAAGCTAGATCATTCAGCCGGTTCATTGCCGCATTTAGACATTTTGCGCCCCGGTGCAAAAAAAAAATTGGCGCCCTCTAAGCCCAGGTGAAAAAAGTTGCTCCCCCCTAAGGGGCCTACCCACGGAAAATATGTTAGATAGATCCTCATTTACCTTTTATATTTTGAGCACAGTAAAGAATATTTGTATTATTGTATTACATTGATGTACTTTTTTTTAAAAAATATTGTTTAGTAATTGCTTGATCCTCTCTCCGCAAAGATACATTTGAATTTATGTCACTTTAACCTTGCTCATAACTAACATATTTATGTAGGTACTTCATGAACAAATAAAATAAAACTATATAAAACTATGAAAATTAATATTAACTAAAAAAATTTCAAACAGCATAATACGTAGGTACCTACTATCGAGATGAGAACGTCTCCCGGCGGCGGCGGAGCCGTGGCCGCGTATCACTCCTTATCGCTTTTCGCGGTTTCGACCGTTTTTTACGATTTTTTTTCAAAATGATCTAGTTTTACCCCCCCGTGGTCTCCCCGTTTGGACCTTATTCGCGTTCCCCTCTAAATTTATTGCCGTCGCGAGGCCCTACTTTTTCGTATAGACGAGTCCCGGGGAGGAGCGGCATCGCTCAAAGCCGACGGGTCCGCGGCGCCACCGTCGAGTAGGTACCGCCATATACAGGCGTAGAGTAACCTGGGGTATTATGGCGCATGGGGCAAAATTAACTATTGTGTATAAGTAATTTAATAATTGCTAATAGTTGACGTCATACACAGCTATTGCTTTTATTATCTACATTTATGAGCAACGCACCTAATAATCGTTTGACATGGGCTCGATTAAATATTAAATATATAATATACTATGTAGTATAGGTACTTTATATAGCTATTACAGGGCTGGAAGTAAGTCACTTTTTTTTAACTAAAAGTCACTTTTTTAAAATTGACTCACTTTAAGTCACTTATTTTCAAAATGTACCTAAATTTATATTTAAACTGCATATGGCCACCAACTTCATATTTGAATGTACAGTAACATGCCTGAATCGCGGTAAAAAAAAGTCCCGACGAAAATGAATGAAAATATATCAAAACTGAAGTATAAACATATTAAAATTGTATTGAAAAATACATTTAAGTTACATAAAATATTATATAATATCATAAAAAATGTTAATTGCTTACTTAAATCATATATTAAATTATAATGAAATTTAATTTAATACAAGTCCAAAATAATAAAATTTAATGCAATAATCAATAGTAAAATATATAATTATAGTACGTACCTATATAATTATAATAAAAATGTAATATTATAATTAAGTACACCTCTTTCTTGTGTTATGACTTACGGCTGTTGAATAGGCCTGTTTATAGGCATATAACATATTATACCAAAATCTTTGTTTTTATGTAATGTTCCTAATCAAACTTTCGTATATTTATTAGTCTATTATATTTGAAAAACCATCCGGGATGAATTCCTATTATAAAAAACCATTGGCGTGTTTTTTAGTTATGATTAAAATAAAGTAAGTTCCTGAAAAATGATCTTGAATATTATTCTAAATTATAAAAATTATAAATTGAAATGGGTAATATGATTTAATCATTTGCTATTAAAATTTGTGTTTATTATTATCATTATTTTTTTGTAATTTCAACAAAATTAAGTATGTTGGAAACAATTAAATCATAGGTATGTAGAGATTCAAAGACAAATGTTCAATAACTGGTAAGTTTTTATGAAAGCAATGTATGTAGGTAACTTTTTTGTCACTTTTATGAATAAATTCAGTCACTTAGTCACTTTTTTAAATAGCCTTAACCTCTTCCAGCCCTGCTATTACAGTTTCTAGGTGAGTAAGATTTGGTTGGATTAAAATTCTGCTACAGATTATAAATAATACAATATTAATAAACAAAATAGAACTTTATGTATTTATTTAAAGTCTGGCAATTAGATTGTATAATGATATGACTATATTATATTATTTGATATAACTTATATAGGTATGTTAAATATGAGTATTATATGAAATAAACTATTTGTTATTATAATTTATAACTATGGTTATTTTGTACCTACTTGAATAGACAATAGTAATATAACTAACATACATGTAGGTATACTAGGTACTACTTAATATATTACAGTTTTTAGGTGAGTCAAATTATGTATATTAATAAACAAAAAATAACTATATGTATTTAATTAAATTCTGGCAGTTAAATTGTATAATGATATGCAGTGCCGTAGACAGGAATTTTATATAGGGGGGGTTTATTATAATAATAACATGTTATAGTAAATTAAGAAAAAATAACACATAATTTATATTTTTATATCTTTGTTTTAGTGTCTTATAAGTTATGATATCATATCTATTTTTCTTTTAGATTCTGAGTGAAACGATGAATGTATTGATTTTACAATGATGTGTGTTTTTTTTTTATTTTTTTGTTTTTTTTTTGTGTCTGTCATCACGTTTTAGGACAGTAAAAGTGCTTGGATTTTCTTCAACAGTAGCTTTTCTGATAGGAAAGGAAATCTAGTTGGTACTATGGGGGGGGTCAAAAGTAAAAAAAAATGTCTATAAGAAAGTCAAATTAAAATTTTATGAGCGTTTGAAAGTCTACGGTGGCTGCCCCTGCAATTTTTAAAAGGTGCCGGTCAACCGGGTTTGAAGTCGGAAGGGTAACAACATTTCTTTTTTTAAAAAACCATGATTTTTGTGTGGGTATCGTTATAATTACCATTTAATTACAAAGATTGATTTTCTGACTTCCGAAATCGGAAAAACCTACTATAAATACTTGAGACAGGCGACGACGTACCTACAGTACGCAACTAGGTATTATGGATATTATTGTTGTATTGTTTTTGATTTGTAGTTAGATGGTGTAATCCAAGGCTGTAGATGAATAATATTTCTGAGGTTACTGTAGATTATTATTGTAAATAGATGATTTGGACTTTTTTTAAATTATATAAATATTTCATTGTGAAGTGGGGCTTGAAAAAATACGAATTGGGTGTATAGGGCTTTTTTTAGTTCACTAATAAGGTAGGTAGCGCCGGTTATTAGCTAGGCTGCCCCTGCCGACGAAGTCTAGTCACGCCTATGTTGTATAGTGTATACATTTATACAAACCTACGTTTAATAGGATAGTATTACAGGTCAATCAAATTTGCTATTCACCAATAAAATTATCTATTTGTTAATTTGATTTAATTCTCATAATTAAATAAATATACATGGTAGGTAGGTACAACTATATATGTAAGTAATATCAAATAGTGTAGAAAATATTAAACATATACTATATAATTTTGTCTTGTATATGATCTGTATGTTCATCCATGTCCTGAAGCTTTACATAACCAACCATGTGAATGGAAAGAAAACTCGAATACGTCTATCACATTCAAATATAATCCTGGTATGTATAATTAATATTCTTTAAATAGTACTATAACACAATAATAGGAAATATAAAAATGTTTTCTTGATATTATGTTGGTAGGTAGGAAGGTAGGTACCTACTTAGAACACTTGGATAGTTGCATACAGGGCCGGATCTAAGCTTTTCAACACTCAGGGAAATTAAAAAAATACGCCCATCTCAGGGAGATGACCAGAATTAGTATTTTTATTTATGAAAAATCAAGCACACTCACACATTATTGCGATTACCAACATTAACAAAACCTTTCACAATATACTGCACCAATAATTTATTTACCACAGTTAATTTAAACGATTTTAACTTAAAAATGAAACATTTTAAATGTAGATACAAACTTCTGTTTTTCAAATGAATAACCACCTTTTTATTGTAAACTAATTAGTATACCTAGTTCAAAAAAAAATTTGAGTGAGATTTTCTCAGTTATTAAAATGTTTAAGGAAATGAATTCAAATTTAAAATATAGTAGGATTTTGTGAAAATTTAAAATGTATACATTTTTTTCAAATACAAATCTTTGACCCACGGTCAACTTCGGGCGTTACAGCTAGATTAGAGCTATAAAGTATATTATTAAACATTTTGAAATATTGAGATTTTTAACTGCTCTTACATTTGAAAATTAATTAAAAATTAATTTCAGATTTTGGTGCCAACATACCATTAACGCAATTATCCAGTGTAACCATTTTTATGGACTTGCCGTTTCTGGACATTGACATGAACGCATGCTTATACACACATTGTCCCATTAAAAAGGATACTGAACAGTATTGGTTTTACAATTTATTTGTACCCAAAAACTATGGTAAAACTTTTTACACGGTCAATGTCGAGTTCTGGGATTCTGTTTCATACCAAACGTGCTGTTTTTTTTTCGCCCTCAAGATCGTTTAACAGAAATGGAAAATACTCGCCACTATCTACCTAAATATATTTATTATCACCTATTGTAACATAATATAGGTATAATATTTTAATACAGCATTATTAACGTTACTTAACTCACCTTTGTGCCTCTTTAATATTATAGGAAAAACCATAATGTTAAAATGTACATCATAGTTAAATTTTTATTGTAAAATTACTTAAAACAGAATAATTTGTGTATTTTATAACTGATACAGAACTATAGATCCATTTTTAATAATTTATTGTTTTTATTAGAAAAACTAAATTTGTCAGCAATACAACAATAGTAATACAATTTTTAAGTTATAAAATAAGCTTAGTTCATAAACCTAAAGACTTATATTATAAATTGTATTATAATAAAATATAAGTAATCAACCATCAATGTATTGTAATTATAACTTTATTTTTCATACCTTTTCCTACTATAAAACAATTTTAGCTTAGTTTATTAACTTAAATATCTACTTGTTATGAATTATATATCAATTGTGTATGAATTCATTAAATAAAAATACAATATTGGAACAATAGTTCACTTACCAAACACAAGGGAACACATAAGGGAACTACAACGATTGGGGGGGGTTGCTCCAATTGCCCCCCCCCCAGGATCCACCACTACTTATTGGTGTTATATTTTTATTTTATTTTACTACGGGAAAGTACCTATAATGGCTTGAGTTATAAAAATAAACAACTTAATATTATAACAGTCGCCGGTCATATCATAATAAGGATTAATGGTAGACAAACTTATGAGTAATCTTGTAATAAATTTTCAAATCTTAAATTTCAAAAGAAAATTTTTTATGAATTTCTAACTCAAAATAATTTGCAAATTTACGTCTTTTTTAAGTATTTTGTCCTATTTAAACTTTAGATGCTTACAAAAAAAATTGTGGCTATGGACTTTTAATTTTATTCATGTGCCTTTGAAACAATGTACTAGGAGCCTTCTATTGAATTGTTAAGCTTTTTTAACCAATAAATAACATTTTATCGATATTTATAGAAAAAAAAACTAAAAAAAATAGAAACTGAAAATGGCTGTCCGTAAGCAGCTCAAAATAAGTCAAAATAATTAGAAAATGTTATGGTGTATAGAAAATGCTAATATAAACATTGTATCAAAATTTCATGAAAATGCGGTCATTTTTTTAAGAGTTGCACCAAAAACCAAAATCGATTTTTTCGAAAACAGATTTTAGTGTAAAAATTTCCGTTTTTCCTTAATTTTTCTTCTGTTTTTCACGGTGCTTTTAAAAACTACTGGAAAAATTTTACTTTTGACCCCCCCCCCCCCAAAGTACCAACTCGATTCACTTTCCTATCAGAAAAGATACTGTTGAAGAAAATCCAAGCACTTTTATACTGTCTTAAAATAAAAAAAACACACATCATTGTAAAATCAATACATTCATCGTTCCACTCAGAATCTAAAAATAATAATAAAAGTTTCTTTCTTTCAAAATAACAATTTAGCTATTATACATTTGGTAACAGTCGGTCAAATTCATAAAATAGGGTAATTATTATTTTACGAGGAGCTGAAAAAACGTTTCCCCCTCCTCACCCATAGACAATTAACTTTTCCGAGTGAACCGGTGAAGTACAAATTTCAGAAACTGATGTAGAAATTCATGGAAATGACGAGCTAAATATTGGAAAAGTTTGGAAAATTAGGAATGGGTGGGGCTGTAAGTGCTAACAACGTAGTATTAGCTCCAGTACAGCAGCAACTGTGCTAATTAAAAGGTTTAAAAATCACATATTGTGTATTTGTTATTATAATATATTTTATATTGACCTACGATTAATTAGAATTGTATGTACGTTTATAATTTATATAACATAAAAATACACACACACACACACACACACACACACATACTGCGCACCTAAAGTCCATTAATATAGTTTTAATATTCTTGAACATCGATAATTATGGGCATTGTTAAATCGACTTCTATCTATAAATTATATACATGTTCAAATAGTACCTACAAAAATATCGAAATCACTCGTACTGCAGTATACCATAATATAGTAAATATCATGTGGAAACGGAAACATAAAAATATTTCAAGTCAAGCTCAATAATATTCTGATATAAGCTAGAGTTTCTTAAAATCAGTATATTTAATTTTTGTTTTAATCGCTCGTAGGTAGAACAAAAAGGTCAAAATATATAATGTGCGAGCGGTCGCCGACATAAGCCACTATTGGTTAGGTTAGGCTAACAAACGTAGGTAGGTAGTCTTACTTAGCAGCAACTGTGCTAATTAAAATGTTTACAAATCACATACTGGGTATTTGTTATTATAATATATTTTATATTTACCTACGTTTAAATAGAATTGTATGTACCTACATTTATAATTTATATACATAGGTACATTCGGATTTCGGACTATACGCACACACACACACACTCATGTATCAATCATAGGCGTGCGCAGACTCTTATGGCAGATGCAGCATATAAAATTAAGCAGCCCATTTTTTAACAATCGGCCAAATAAATGTTGAATAGTCAAATACACAGGCAGTGTTATTGTTACCTAAGTGGGTATAATATCATTTTTTTTTTTAACAATTAACAAATGTTCACAATTTCACATACAAAATTTAAGGAAACATTTGTTCACTGCTTTTGAAAACACCAAGTTACAATTACTATCAGACTTTATTAGTTATATTACCTACATAAAATCATAAAATACTTAGTCAATTTATTTTTTATTAATTAAATAAAATACATTGTACATTGATATAGGATGATAAATAAAATGATAATTTTAATAATAATAATTATTATTATTATAATAGTAATAATTCCCAATTGTTTTTTATTATAAAACAAGTCTTCTATCATTTGGTACCATTAATTTAAACTGGTCAATGACTTCATCAATATTAACATTTGCAGTCATTTTTTGTTCAACAAACAGAAACAATAACGAATTTAACCTATCCTGAGACATTGTGCTTCTTAATTTATTTTTTATGATGCTTAATTTTGAAAAAGTTCTTTCACATGAACAGCTGGTCACAGGTATTACAACAAATATCCTTAATACTTGTAGAAACTGTTTGAAAATATCTGCTCTTCCTTTTATTGACAGCCAATCAAGCCATTCATGTATAGTGCTTACTGAATTTCCTATAGGTCTAGGCGTATCTTTCATATTTTTCAAAATGATAATCTCGGCTTCTAAATTTTCTGCAACTACATGAAAAAACCTTTGGAATAAGTTTGAAGACTCAATATTAAACTCTAAGTTGATTAATTTAGCTACTGCACAAATAATATCAACAGTTTCTTGTTGAAACCTTTCATTCAGAGAATTCACCAAAATATCTAATGTTGAAAAATATACTTCTATTTTAATATACTCATTTTGTGTTTGGTATGTATGCTGCGATAATGGTGTATCGTCCATTTTACATGAAACTTTCCTATTCTTAATTTTTGGTATAATTATATTATTTTCTTCACACATTGTAACAGTTTTTTTTAAAGACCTTATGGAATTCTTCATCTTGAGGAGAGCTTCTCATAGAACTCAAAGAGGATTTTAATGATTTTACAATAGACATGGCTGTTAAAAGATCCAAGTTCTCAGTTTGTAAGACAGCGCTTACTTTTAAAATCATTTCTAGTATAGGCTGTATCATAGTTAAACAGAAAATAAATTCAAAAGTTTTCATTTGATGTAAAATACCTTTGCCTTTAGCTCTCATTTCTGAAATTAAACATTTTTCAGTTATTTCTTCCAACGCTTCCAACAAAACGTTGTAATTACTTTTAATTGCTTTCACTGCTTCTGAACGACAGGCCCATCTAGTTTGTGAAGATGATTTTAATGTATGCAATTTACTGCCATTTTCTTTGGCTATTCTTTCAAAAATGGCATGTCTTATTGGGCTTCCTTCAATATACGAATATATAAATTGAACAGTTCCCAAAAAGTCAAAAACCATTTTATTTTGTTGACGATTTTTAGTACTTGCACCAACTGCATCCATTAGTGTTAAGTTCAAGCAATGTGCATAGCAATGGACGTATAAAATGTTTTCATTTTTCATTTTACATTTAGCTTGAACTCCAGCAATGTTACCAGCCATGGTTGACGCTCCGTCAAAACAAACGGCAATAACTGAATTCCAGTTTAAATTAAATTGTTCAATAACATTTTCTAAAGATTTGAAAATTGATTCTGCAGTTACTGATAACATTCGTTTCAAATCAACAAAAGTTTCAATTGGTCGATTAAGAGCGAGGCTAAAATAACGTACAACAATAGATAGTTGTTCATGATGCCCTACGTCACTAGTCTCATCAGCAATAATGGCAATTGGTACTTGTTGTATATTATGTTTTAGCTCTTGTAATAGTACACTGTGAATAGAATAAATTATATCATTTTGAATTCTGTTACTTGTATATGATGCATTTTTCGGGCCATTTTCAAAATGATTTTGTAACACCATATCATATCTGGACAACAACTCAACAAATTCTTTGAAAAGTCCTTTTTGAAAACTATGAGAAGACTCATCATGACCTCGAAATGGTTTACCACATTTGGCAAGGCACACAGTTACTTCTACAAGGCGCCACATGATTTTTCTATTATTCAAACGCTCATTTTCTAGTTTACTTATTTGCTGTGTCACACTTTCATTAATAACTTCATCTATAGACTTGGCAGAAAGAAAATTGCTTAAAGCTGTTACACTATTTAAATGAGCTAAGGATGTTTGATGAGTTTGTAAACATTGAATCCCTCTATACCAGCCTTTAAATCCTTTCACTGTAAATGCTGTATCTATTTGACCCTTATTTTTTTCATTTCCAGCAAAACATCTGCATGGGAAACAATAAGCTGCATCAGTGACTGTACTATATTCAAGCCAACTAAATTTATCATACCAAGATTTTTGAAAAGATCTTTGACTGTTACTTTGTAAAGTTCTAGGATATAGTTTCAATACAGGGCGACAGGGTCCATGGTTAATAATTTCCTTAAATTCTAAGCGATTGGAAGGCAATTTATTTGAAGGGTCGTTAACTTTAGAACTTAGAATTCCATGAGCTTTCAAATAGTTTTCATTAATATTTGAATCAGTGTCAGTCTCACTTACTTGAACTTGACTAACCTCTGTACATACTTTCATATTGTTTTCCTGCAGTTCAATGCAATCCTACAAATTAAATATAATTTTTCATTTATTAAAAAATTATAAATTAAATAATTATACAGAAAACCAAAAAACATACTTTAGAAACAGGATAGTCAACATCTACATTTTCGATCACACTTTTAGTTGATAAAATTTGTTTCTGGTAAGATTCTGGTAAGATTTGAATACTACTAGCTGTGCTGGTGTCATTTTGAAGTGCATTATTCTAAAATAACATAATTTTTAATCATTATAAATTTAATAAGCAAAAAATTCATATTTAAACAACATTATAGTTTTAGTATTGATATATAAGTATCATAATAATAATAAAAATAAAAAAATTAGTTGATTTATATGACATTAAATATCAAGTATAAAACACAATTTAAAAATATATTAGTTCCGGAGGAAAATATTTTGTATTATAATCTCCAGGGACTTAGTTTTTTTTATGTAGGTACATACTACTTATTATGTCCAACACCAAAAATTAAAAATTTAAATTATCTTAATTCCTAAGTCCTAACTACATCATTTTACTTGCGATTATTTATTATATTAGGTAAATTTTTGAAATATTTATTTTGTGATTTATATAGGTATTTTTGAAACAATATAAATATAATTTATATAAATATTTAGAAAAAAAATAAAAATAATTAAATAATATACTACTCACTATAGGTTCAGCCGGTTCAGGGTTGTCAACATCTTCATTTTGCAATTCATTTATAATAACATCTTGACATGTTGGAATATTAATATTTTTTTTAAATCCATCTACTGATTTTTGAAATAAATTTTTAATATTATAGCAGGATTGAGCAGCATTTTGAAGTTTAATTTTTTTTAATTCACGAACTTTAACAGCTCCGCCTTTTTGTTTTTTTGTTTTCTTTGTCGAACTCATGTTTGAAGTTAAAATGTATTATTTAAGAAAAATGATAACTATTTAATATTAATAGGTACTACGTTGACACACACGAATACGCGGTTTCGCGGAGAACACAATCACGGTCGTCTGAATAATAACAACTTAATTCATAAATCATAATTCGAATAATATCACACCACACTGAATATTATATACCTAGTTAATGACTTGGTCTGCAACAGTCAACAATACGCTACAATAATAATCGTATAATGATACTTTATTATCGGTCATCAAATAGAAATTCGATATTCTGATTATTGCGGTTATCCAGTCGATTACTGAGTTATTTTTAGAACGTACCTAAGGTTTTCCAGTGGAAGCGGCCGACGCGCCAGCTAGCTAGTAGAGCTAATCTGCTAACCACTACCACCTCCCGGCCAACGACAATAACCAAAACATTGAATATATACATAGTATTATAGTTCCTAATTTCCTATACGTTTTATTTTTATATATTTTTGTTTAATAACATATTAACTGATAGCTTTGTCTACGCTCTATTTTAAAAATAATTATATTATTTATGGTTCACATCAATTTTATTTACTCATTAATTATTATAATTTATATTAAATTATTAAATAATGAATTGCCCCGACCGGCCTATGGACTAATCAATCGGCCCAAAAAATGTGGCAGATGCAGCATATGAACCTTCTGCTGCACCCGTGCGCACGCCTATGGTATCAATGTTAAGGTAGGTATTGTATATGAAGTATTTCACTAAGCAATATTATCTTTTAGAATATTGTGTATGAATATAATTTATGTACTATCGCATTGTGATACACCAAAATAAAAAGTTCACTCAGTAAAATAAGTCAATTAAAGTATCACGTCTGCATCATGGTTACTCGATTATATCTATTTAATAAATATTAATGGTGAATTTTACATATTATATTATTAGCACGTTTGCGTTATTGAATACGACGTTATACGACATATTATACTTCATATAATTACTAAATATAGTGTAAATATTAAACATAGGTAGGTATTTATTTATATTGTTTGATTATTAGATGGACCACTTATCGGTAACGATAAAAAAAAATGACCTTATTTACAATAGTAAATGTACGTAGGTTCAATATAAAAAAAAACATAATTTCGACTTATTCACGAAAATATTCGAGTTAAACAAGATTTTTTTGCAATGTTTTAATAAGAAATTCCAGGAACCGGGGAAAAAGTTCGAAGGTACGACTTAATTGATAATAAACACTGAATAAATATTGATTCTGTGTACAGCGTAATGCGTATACTATATAAATGAACATAATAATAATATATAACCATGTACGCATATACAATACAGTATAAACGATAAACATGCTATTGACGCTTCGTATTGTTTGATTTTGATATAGGTACTAACCAGTGTAATATACTTACGGTCTATACACATAGATACATTCAAATGGATTGGATGAACCCCCACTTTGACATTAAAAAAATCGTGTGCTTTATATATAAACGAGAACCTCGCAGCGCCTTGTCGCAGTATCATAAATTGTAGGTATACCAAAACAACGTCAACGTTTTCTCCTGCCAGTTTTTATTAACTGATTCCGTGACGCAATGGCCATACTAGAGTTCATTGTAGTAGCATTAACGCTTGCTAGTGTTAACACCGAAAGAGTCAGAAACTATCGCATGTGCCCTAGTGAGTATTGCATAATTGGTTATAACTTATAAATTATATCTTTTTATATTATTAGATTTTACTCCGTTTTTATATATTGCTTACTGTTTTACTGTTTCCTTTTTCTTTTTTTTCAGACTCTGATTGTCTTATATACGATATGTTTATTGATCCATGTCCCGAAGCTTTATACAACAAAGCATGTGGATGGCCAAGAAACTCGAACACGACGGTCGCATTCATATATAACCCTGGTACGTATAATTTATATTCTTTAAATAATACTATAACACAATAATAGGAAATATAAAAAATTCGGCTTGATTTTATGTTGGTAGGTAGGAAGGTAGGTACCTACTTAGACCACTCGGATAGTTGCATACAGGGCCGGATCTTAGCTTTTCAACACCTGGGAAATTAAAAACACGCCAATCTCAGGGAGATGACCAGAATTAATATTTTTATTTATGAAAAATCAAGCACACTCACACATTAACAAAACCTTTCACATATACTGGACCAATAATTTATCTACCACAAATAATTTAAACGATTTTAACTTAAAAATGAAACATCGTAGACAATAGTGTCTGGGCTGATAATCAATTAAATTTAATATTCATTGTACCAACTTTTATATTTACTATTAAGTAGAACTTATTAAAATC